ACATGATCATCATAAAACCATAAACTTAACACCATAAGTAGAGGAACTTAAATATTCACATAGAAAGAATAGAGGGCAAGTCAATGAATCAATGAATTAAACATGGTTTGAAAGGCTAGATTATATTAGTTGAGGTTCTGAAGTTTTAAGATGGAGGTAGAACAAATAACAAGTTAAAGCATGTAGCAAACCACCGCTACGTTTACTTGCCTCCAATGAAGTGATGATCGCTCTATGTGTGATTCGAAGCACTATCACCTGCTTAAGTAGTATAATGTCAGAGGTAGAACTCATTTCAACAAGTACAAACAGTAGACAAAGCACTCCTACTCCCCAACCCGACATACAAGTAAAACAACACACAAAGCGACAAATCAAATGCAGCAGTGCTGCTTCACCTTTTTATATGTTTTAATCCATAAGGGATATGATGCCAGAAAAATACATTTTCATAATCTACCGACGAAGGCTTACAACTTTCATATAGGAGCCATATTTTTACCAAGCTTTTAAGATGGCCTAATCCTTAATAGAAAACAGATTTCAGAATCTGCTCGAGAATTGAGATAGCAAGTTTCATATTTTTATATCTCCAAATACTTAAGTCCAAAAATTATGAAATTTAACCAGCGATCAGATAACTCTATATTCAACAACGTTGGTACTATTCATATTTGCAGAAAGAGCCAATTAAATGGACCTAAGCAAGACCCAATCTTAGCTGCGAATCCTGCTGAGGAAACAATACATTGAGCTTTGAAACTCTATACCTAGAGCTTCCATTATCCAAAAATCATGATTCTTACCAATCTGTAAAGCTAAATGAAAGTGCTACAAGTCTCTTATAATTTTGAAAGTCCCATCATGCTTCTAAGGTTCTCAAAATCCACCTAGATCCAGTTCTGTCCAAAACTTTGTCAGAACATGACAGCTAACTTAGAAAACTCATATCTCCCAAACTGTTCGGGATAAAATCATGAAATTTCACAAGGTAACAGATCTGAAGGTACTCTACAACTTTGTAGTTCATCACAACACTCAGTTCAGATTCCAATTGGCCCTAATCGCTCCCCCAATAAAAGCTATTGGAACTGCACAACTGAAATACAAGGATTGACATCCCAACAACATTTCCTCCACTCTATTCCACTTATACCCAAGGCCAAACCCAACATAGACATCTAATTTGTGCAGGGAAGGACGGAATCCTACTGACCTTGGTTACTCCCAAACCCTAGAGCAGCGGGAAGAGATGGGGAAGGACCGATCTCCATGGAAGATGCACCTCTTCTTGCTCCTCTTGATTTCCCCTATCCGATTTGCTAGATTCCCCCAAGGGTTTGGTGCTGCAGTGGAGAGATTTGTGGGAGGGAATCCATGGGACAGAAGGGGAGGAAGCAGAGAACGTAAAAAAAAGAGGTGGCTGGTCTGGAGGTCGAACGAGAAAGAGGAGGGTGCGCTGGTCGCCGGTCTAAAGGAGTTAGGGTATGTTTAGTTGGGTGAATTTGGGAATTTGGGTTACTGTAGTACTTTCGTTTTTATTTGATAATTAGTGTTTAATCATGGACTAATTAGGTTCAAAACGTTCGTCTCGTAATTTCTAACCAAACTGTGCAATTAGTTTTTTTTTTCAATCTACATTTAATGCTCCATGCACGTATCGTAAGATTCGATGTGATGGATACTGTAGCACTTTTTTGAAATTTGGGGTCTCAACTAAACACGCGCTTAGAGGGATGTGGGCTGGTGCGAAATTTTTGTATTTTGGTCCTTTTTAAAAACATTTTTTATAAATAGCTTTCTGTCGAAACGTTTTATAACAATAGACTATTTTTCGGCGTATTAGGACATTATTTTTCGGCGTATTAGGACACGACGCCAAAGTATGAGGCTCGGCGCTGTGTCAGACAACGCCGAACTTTTGCCACGTCAGCGCGGACTCCGGTCGCAGTTGCCACGAAGGCGTTGGGCCCCGCGTACCTCGGCGCTGTGTTACTCCACGCCGAGCCGCAGACCTCGGCGTGGCACTGCTCGACGCCGGAGGTCTGGGTAGTACAGTGTGTGCACGCATGCATGACCCGGCCTAGCTACATCTACATACCCTGCTGCTGCCTCTATGATCTCATAATTATACGCAGGGTAGATGGAATCTCATTCAAGTCAGTATCCAGCAGAAGCATTCGACAGTTCCTGTTTTCTTTCAGAAACTTTTACGTATGCAAGATCTTTTCTCTCTCATAGTAGCAGCCAGTAGCTGCAGACCTCTTTCTGAGAAACAGGCAACTGGTGCCTGTATGTAGTACATGTATATATAAATAAATACAAAACCAAAAGGCTAGGTCGTTGTGCATATATATACATCTACCTATCTAGCTAAACGTACATCGATCGAACAGAAAGCTAGCGCCGGCCATGCATCCACAAGCAGCGCAATGGAGCGTACGTAGGGCTGCAGTTTCGTCTGCCAAGGCATGCAAAGCTTATATATATATATATATATATATATATATATATATATATATATATATAGGTTAAAATGCACCTGGGTGCATTCTGTATAGCAAATGCACCCAACCGCGAGCACGAGACGCGCGGAGCGCAGGGAGCGACGAGCGCGAGCCGTACCGGCGCGGAGTCCGACCCGGTTGACCCGCGCGCCTGCATATTCCGAGACCCCGCGTGCCTGTATAGGCCCCGGGTGCCGCCCCTCGGCCGCAAGCCAGTTGCAACTCATCCCTTCAACCGATTGCAACTTCCGTCGTACACAAATTGCAACCTTGGTGGTAGGTCAGTTGCAACTACTCCATGCATGTACGACTCAAGTTGCAACTGGCCTACCACCAAGGTTGTAATTTGTGTACGACAGAAGTTGCAATCGGTTGAAGGGACGTATATATATGTACAACGACCTAGCCTTTTGGTTTTGTATTTATTTATATATACATGTACTACATACAGGCACCAGTTGCCTGTTTCTCAGAAAGAGGTCTGCAGCTACTGGCTGCTACTATGAGAGAGAAAAGATCTTGCGTACGTAAAAGTTTCTGAAAGAAAACAGGAACTGTCGAATGCTTCTGCTGGATACTGACTTGAATGAGATTCCATCTACCCTGCGTATAATTATGAGATCATAGAGGCAGCAGCAGGGTATGTAGATGTAGCTAGGCCGGTCATGCATGCGTGTACACACTGTACTACCCAGACCTCCGGCGTCGAGCAGTGCCACGCCGAGGTCTGCGGCTCGGCGTGGAGTAACACAGCGCCGAGCCGAGATCTGCGGCTCAGCGTGGAGTAACACAGCGCCGAGGTACGCGGGGCCCAACGCCTTCGTGGCAACTGCGACCGGAGTCCGCGCTGACGTGGCAAAAGTTCGGCGTTGTCTGACACAGCGCCGAGCCTCGTACCTTGGCGTCGTGTCCTAATACGCCGAAAAATGGTCTATTATCATAAAACGTTTCGACAGGAAGCTATTTGTAAAAAATGTTTTTAAAAGGGGCCAAAATGCAAAAATTTCACTGGGCTGGTTGGATGGGCTTGGGCCTGCCCATGGCTGACCTAGCAAGCATGCCCCTTCCCATTCCTATTTTTTTCTTTCAAGTGTTACACACAGCTCGAACCCCTGGGCCGGGCCTGCATACGAAAGCTGGAGCAGAGGATCTAGAGAGGAAAAGGGATAAATGGTTGGGAAGACTCCGGATAAAAAAGGTTGCACTAGAAGATAGTTTCTTGACACAGGGTCCTAAGCTATGAATATTTATTCTAGTTTTCTGAATTGTGAGTGCCCTTAGTGTCAAAGAAGCCATTACTTGGCGTCTATAATAAAACCATCTACTCCCTTGGTTTTAAAATAAATGCATATCTTGCTTCCCAAAAAATCAATCAATTTTAAATTTAACTAAATTTATAAAAAAACATAGGTTTGCTATAAAAATATATGCCATGATTAATCTAATGATTCTTTTGATATCATAAATACTAATATATTTATATATATTTGGTCAAGCTTACGATTTATTCACTTCATAGGATGCAAGGTAAGCACTTATTCAGGACAGAGGGAGTAGTTGTTTTCATGCTTTCCACCTCGTAAGAAACTCTATGGGCATGATACAGCTCAATTTCATTGGCGAAGTAGCTTTATTTTATTTATTTTTTTGCTTTAGCTAAAAACTCTCTATCAATAGAGTTAAACTGTTTTGCTGAACTACTGATTAATTAAAAGGACGAGATGACCAATATAGCCTTGTTTTCTTTTTTCTTTCTCCTTTTTCTTTTCCTCCTCTCCTCTTACTTCCCCATGCCAAAATTATTTAGTTTATAAGCCTAAAGACATAAGGACACCCATGGGAGACAAAGAAGGCCATTGCCGCAGCTCCAATGTGCAACAAGCGAAGACGATGCGATCTTTCTTGTCACCACAATGCTGCAATTAGAAAAGCAAGGCACCGAAAAAGTAGCTACCACTTCACTAAAAATAATAAACATCCAGAAAATCCTATAAATAAAACTATTAAAAAGCTAATAAACAACCAGAAAATCCTAATCCTAAAAAATTATTAAAAAGCTAAGCACACATGTAGTGTGCTCACACGTATATATATCAAAATCCAATAATATGGGGTGATTGCTAACCACGCTTTCCACGCGGTTGACACCAGTGTTGCCATTGCCATTTATCAATTGGTGAAACTGGCTCTCAACGGCTGATGTGGTATGAACATTCGTCCTGAATGACCCTGCGCGCGCTGCGCAGATGTCTACGTTTGTCACGGACAATGGGCCGGCCCAGCTGTAGGCAGTTCGATGGATGGAAGTTATATCGGGATCCGATGAAGTATTTTACAACGGATTAATTAATCGTTTTCTTCTGCATGGATACGGCGAACAAAAGCCGTGGGGTGGAGCGGAAAAAAAAATTGTGTTATCTTGCGGCGGGAGATATCGAGAGCGATCTTCGCCGCCGCTGCAGTTACACGGCAACAACGCAGCCATCAAGCGCCATGGAGGTTAACCCTGCCCTCAGTGCTGCTGCTCCGGACGGTGATGCCGACGCGGCAAAAGCGAATTCCTCCGACGACACCATTTGTGATGCAGTGCAGGTATGTATAGATTGCTATAGGCGTTTGTGCTAGTGTTTTTTTAATGGTCTATTCATTAGAACATGTGAACACGTGCTTTCTGCAGGGTAACGTCAATCCAAATGCCATGCCCATGTGGATGTTGCCATCCATATTACCTGCGACTACGTACGTCTGTTTTGGAGTTACCTGAACCCGAGGGACAACAAGCTCGTAGACTTCCTTGCATCTGATGGTAGACAGTCCTGTCTCTTCCTTCACTCCCTTCAGAAACCTGCAGTCCATCAGGATACACATATCATGATTCCATACAACCAGGCATAACTCAGTTTATTGCACGGATCCAAGGCATGAACCATATGCACCAGCAAAGGATAATTTAATAATCCATCCAATACAATCAGATGGCCGTACAATCTGCTGAGTTGGGAAAAGCGCTTACCAGATTTGCTAGGGCTGGGCGCAGAGGAGGTCGCCGGCGCTGATGGCACATCTGGAATCGAGAGGTGGAGGAGCTGCGCGCAGAGAGGAGGTACCCGACGCTGGCGGCGCCTCTGGAGTTGAGGCAGAGGAGTTCGTCGGCGGTGGTGACGCGTCTGGAGTTAGGCGGAAAAGCTCAGCGCAGAGGAGGTCGTCGGCGGTGGTCACGCGTCTGGAGGTCGGCGGCGGCGGAGCGTTTGGAATCGAGCGGAGAAAAAATCAGCAGCGGCGCCGGTTGCAGATGAGTCCTGAGCGTCTGGGGCTGATTAGCCAGGCTGGAGCGTACGACCACAATTGCTAGCTAGCCAAGCCTTAGCCGAGGGAGTCAGAGAGCCAGCCGGTCGATTAGAAGTCCACGCGTCGTCATCTCTGTGGACGTCCGCACGGGAACGCATACGGCCCATCCGTATGCAATTTTTTTTTCCGGTGGAGCAGGCCGTATGCCCGTATCCATTTTGTTTTATACTGCTTGATTCGAAACATGCAGGGATTAAAGTTAGTATAAAGAAGGATGAGGTGTTCTGAGTAGCGAAGCTTGGATTCATTTAAACATAATTAGGCTTATTGCAAGTAATTTTGCTTTGAGGCACTTTTTGATGAACTAGCAAGTATCATGCGCTCATGTTGTTTGTTCTAACTAGTCCTTTCCAATGTCCATCTGCATCCTATATTTGGACCTTTCATCGTGTGTCTTTTGATTGGCCGGTCTACCCTACAAGTGTAGAGGGGTTGTTTGTTGAGGTGTTTGATCATGTGAATAGTGAAGTGAGAAATGTAATGCTTTTTTTTTGTATGTGCGGGCTCTTTGGACGCTGTGGAAAACAAGAAACAATGTTGTCTTCAACAACAACATTTTGGCTTGTCCAGAATCATGCTTCTCAAGCCGATGCCTCCTCTATGGATGGGAGACGAACTCATTGACAAGATGAAGCAGGGAGTGACACTTGCCTTAAGACAATCCGGAGGGTTTAGTTGTTTTTGTGTTCTTTTGGTCAGTGAGGAGAACAGGGTTGTTTTGACTGTTTGGATTATTGACCTTTTTGACGGTAGGCGTGGACGAGTGGTGTAATAGGAGTTTGAGGTTCGTCGTTTTAGAGGAGTCAACAGTGTTGAATTGAGGTTCAAACTTAAGCTTTCTAATAAAGCTAAGCTGAGCCTTTCATCTAAAAAACTCCTTTTATTCTACTCACTGGTAAGTAGGCCTAGCCCGTCCGCTCTCGAGCCTCTCTCCTAGGGATGGGAGTAGGCTGTCCCGTTCCTAGTCTTGGACCCGGATCCGTGGCCTCAATGCCAAGCGTCATTGATTGACCCATTTTCTTCTACAACTAAAAAAAAAATAAAGTGTGGACATTTTTTTGATACGACATTTATTTTGGTTCGTCCGTCTGTCCACGTCTGCGATCCCATGACATCTCCTGCATGCTGCGTCCTTTGGTGCGATTCTCCTTGATTGAATATTGCCTATCATGTGATAGAGGAATCACGGCAAAATAGGAAGTAGAAAATTATTGTGCTATCCATATACACATTGCATATTTGCATGCACCAGCAGACATGGCAACGAGTAAAAGGAAAGAGAATTAACACAGAAGTAAAGAGAATTAAGACAAAAGGAACCTCTTTATATTTCTGAGAACCTTGTCAAATATGTCTATATTTAATTACTTCCCCTCTTTGCATTTACGGAAAAAGTCTACTTAACCCCCCATCTTTCATACTTGGTCTACTTCACCCCCAACTATGAAACCGTCTGTTTTACCCCCTGAACTTTCTAAAACCGTCTATTTTACCCCCTGGGTGGTTTTCAACGGCGGTTTGCTACAGCAACAACAGGTTGCTACAGTAACCGTGGTTTTGAATTTTCTTTTTTTTTAATTTATTTTCGGTGAATTTTTGAAAAATCATTTTAATCATAGAAAAATCATAAAATGAAAAATCTAATTTTATTGGATTCCACATGAGTAGATCTACAGAGTGAATATATAATATGGTATGCTTTAGTACAATTTTTTTTTAGCTTTAGATTAATTGGAAAATCCAATTTTGTTTGTAATTAATTAGAATTTATCTATAACTAAGTTATACATAGTCCAACGAGTACGAAATTTTTATTATAGTTCAAGCATATAATAATTAGCGTACCATAAAAATTTCACCACAATTGGACCATAGAAGCTGCAGCTATGAATTATTCCAATTAATTACAAACAAAATTAGATTTTCCAATTAATCTAAGGCTACAGTAAAAAAAATTTGTACTAAAGCATACCGTATTATATATTCACTATGTAGATCTACTCACGTGGAGTCCAACAAAATTAGATTTTTCATTTTATGATTTTTCTATGATTTTTCAAAAATTCACCGAAAATAAAAAAAATCAAAACCACTGTTATTGTAGCAAACCCGCTATTATCAGAAAGCAAAACCGTACAATAAAACCGCCTGTGGGGTAAAATAGACAGTTTTATAAAGTTCAGGGGGTAAAACAGACGGTTTCATAGTTGGAGGTGAAGTAGACCAAGTATGAAAGGTGGGGGGTTAAGTAGACTTTTTTCTTGCATTTACAAAAGGGACAGCTTTTTTCTCCTTTCATTTGGTTTCACGCTCACGTGTTCCATCACCCTTGCTTGCTGTTTCTTGCTGAAATTGCCCTTGGGTCTGTTCATTTTGAATCATTTCCCCATATTCTAATTAAACTATAAAATTTTGAATTAGGATACGAGGTAAGACATGCAAACAGATATTTCAAAACTACCTGTAGAGTCCAAAGAAGTTAATAAATAAATCCTTCTGTAGGCAATGCAAATTCTCTTTAATCTTTTATTTGGTGTAGTTAGTGTTATCATAGTACCCGCATATATTCATCTCCTACAACTAAAAAGAACAAAGTGTGGATATTTTTTGGTGCGACATTTGTTTTGGTTCGTCTGTTTGTCCACGCCTGCGATCCCACGACATCTCCCGCATGTTGCGTCCTTTGGTGTGATTCTCCTTGATTGAATATTGCCTGTCATGTGATAGATGAATCACGGTAAAATAGGAAGTAGAAAATTATTGTGCTATCCATATACACATTGCATGTTTACATGCATCAGCATACATGGCAACGAGCAAAAGAAAAGAGAATTAACACAGAAGGAAAGAGAATTAAGATAAAAGGAACATCTTTGCATTTCTGAGAACCTTGCAAAATCTGCATACATTTAATTACTTTCTCTCTTTGCATTTGTAAAAGGGACATCTTTTTCCTCCTTTCATTTAGTTTCACGCTCACGTGTTCCATCGCCCTCATTTGCTGTTTCTTGCTGAAATTGCCCTTGGGTCTGTTCATTTTGAATCATTTCCCCATATTCTAATTAAACTACAAAATTTTGAATTAGGATATGAAGTAAGACATGTAAACAGATATTTCAAAACTACCTGTAGAGTCCAAAGAACTTAATAAATAAATCCTTATTAAATAAATCCTTCTAGATGCAATGCAAGTTCTCTCTAATCTTTTATTTGGTGTAGTTAGTGTTATCATAGTACCCGCATGTATGTATGGGAAATAAATTGTGGATAAAACGTGGACACTTTTTGGTGCGATATTCTAACATGGGTCTATCGTTCTGCCAATATCCTTGAGGCAGATCACATAAAGGATGAGAGTCCCTTTATGAGATTGCTCACAAGAGACTTAAACTTATATCTGATCATGGTAATGTTGAATTGCTTTGCATCAAAAGCATCGGCAATGATAAACGGGGACATAGGTTTTAGTATGCATAGTGGAGGAAAACTCAACCTTGGCGTTCTCAGCAGCTTTTCTAAACCTTTGCAGTGCTAACTTGTCCTTACTTAGATAGTCAAGAGGTGCACCATAAAATTATGCACCACTAAAAAAGTGTCACCATTGGTTGCCTTGACCTGAAAAATATGTCGAAATTAAGAATTACAACACCTAATTCAACATCTTGGAACAGACACTCAAGTGGATACCATATTCTACAATATATGTCTGTGTGGAATAGTTCTAAAGCCACACATATTTATTATGTGAGTATAACATACTTTGTTTTAAAATTTTATGAGAGATTTTTTAAGACACGCAGTATTATTCATGTGACAGGCACTAATATTTATATATATACTCGAACCTGTGTGTACAGGATTATATGGTGATGCAGCGGAACTTATTCATGGATTTATTGGCGCATGAAAGAAATAGATATCGGAGAATTCTTTCTGCCAATATAAAATATTATCTTAGCCATATCACGAAAAAGTCTATATAGTAGAGTTTGTGAGCCTGCGACGCCGCGCTCTTCGTGACTGTGTTAATTTCACGAACTTTGCTTTTTGAATTAAATATCATTTTAACGTCGGTATTTAATTTAACAGTATTGTTATCTTATCGTGTGATCCGTGTGTTTTTAGTATAAAAGATTTAGTTGTCCCTGTCGATGTTTTACCACCGATAGCCTACCACGGGGGTACCGTGGTAGTATCGTTCGGGTCTCGGCGTATGCTGAACTCGATGGTGAACGCAAGAGACAGTCGATTTATCCTGGTTCAGGCCCTCGATCGTAGATCGAGTAACGACCCTACGTCCAGTCGGCGTTTGCCTTTTGCGTTGGATTGATTATGAAGTGTTATGTCGTACCAATTGTCCTTCTTCAGGAGCCCTGCCCTCCTTTATATAGTCAGGAGGCCAGAGTCCTAATCGGTTTACAATGAGATTTCCTAGTAGGATTACTTAATAGTTCTATTACTAAGATTACATGGGAAGAATCCTAGTTGAACTAGATCTTCTCTCTCTCTTGCGGGGTATCCTGTGGGTCCCGCATCGACAAGCCCCCGAGCACTTCATGGTTGAGCTCTGAAAGTCTCGCTTTGCTCCTTCAAGTCTTGTTGGGTAGGAACAAAATGTTATCCGAGTGCTTTCTGGAGTGAAACCTTGTAGCGCTTCTTGGAACCTTCGAGTGGTGAGTGTTTTGTGAAGAAAAAGTACATCCATCTGGTTGTAGCCCCCGAGCCTCTTGCTATTTGGAACAAGGAGCTGGAGGATCTTGTCTTGAAGTTGCACTGATTGTTCGTTGAAGTTTTGTCAAAAAGAACTCGAATATGGCTCGTTCCGGGTTCTTTTTGTCATAATGTCTTGAAGTAGTCTGCGTTGAGGAAGTCTTTTGATGGCGTGCGCTTTTTCGGAGAAAAAGTGCACTCACTGAGTGTAGCCCCCGAGCCTCTTGCTATTTGGAACAAAAAGTTGGAGGGTCTTGATCCTTTATGTTTGTTTGAAAATCCGTGCTCTGAAGT